TTCGACGCCCGCGACGCTCTGTTTTTATCTTTTGCATCCCTTTTATTTTTGGCACAAGTTCGCCACATTAAACGTTTATTTCTTCCTGTTTATTTATTGTTATTCTGGTCACCACCCGTGACATTTTGGTGGAGGTGCGGGGTACCGCATGCCCGTGCAGCGTTCCCTTCCCAGGGCCCGCAGTGCAAGCCCGATTCCAAGCCCGGTGAGAAGACCACTCAACGCGGAACCTGAAACTCGGACCAGTCGCCGCACCCAAGGTTTACCCCCGGAACACGGACTTCTGCCACCCCGGACCAGGCAGCCAACGAAGCCGACGATAGACAACCAGTCGTCGCAGAACCCGTCAGCCGCCGCCGTCGTATACCTTCCCGTCGCACCGCGGACTCCGACACCATTCCACGGGGAGGTCCACGAGGACGTTGAAGATTAGCTGCAACATTACGAACGAGTTGCTCGCCATAACGCTTGGACTCCGGTGCAGTGCCTTCAGAACGTCTACTTCGCTCTAGAAGGCACTGCACGCATCTGGTTCGAGAACCACGAAGCGTCCATATCGTCGTGGCAAGACTTCCGGACGGAACTTCGACGCACGTTTGCCAGCAAGCAGCGACGTCAGCGGGCCGAGGAACTTCTTCAAGCAAGAAGCCAAGGGCCAAACGAGAGCGTCACAAGTTTCGTCGAGGACGTTCTCCGCCTCATGAACCGCGCCGACCCAAACGCTCCTGACGAGAAGACGCTGCGGTTCCTGATGCGAGGGGTGAAAGAGACCATCTTCGGAGGCCTTGTCCGCAACCTCCCAGCCACCGTCGAAGATTTCGTCAAGGAAGCCACAAACATCGAACGGGCCCTTCAAGCACGGGCCTCCCATTACCAGCGACTTCCTGGCGGCGCTGCCTTCTCGACTTCCAGCTGCACCGGCCCGGACCTCCGCGACATCATCCGGGACGTCGTGCGGGAGGAAATCAGGAAGCTTCTTCCTGCTGCCGCAAGCCCGGATTCGCCCTCAATCGCCGTGATTGTCCGGGAAGAAGTTCAGAAGGCGCTTCAGCCACAAGCTCTTGTCAACGCCGCTCCCGAACAACCGAAGCTGAGCTACGCCGCAGCTACCCGACGACCACCGCCCCTGCCTACCCGTACACCGCGCCACCCCGACGTGAACCTCCAGCGCCGCAGTTTCCCCGACGCCAGGAAGATCGGGCGCACGCTTACCCTGAACAGGCAGCGCCACGAAAGACCGACGTGTGGAGGACAGCGGATCGACGACCCTTGTGCTATCACTACGGTGAAGCCGGCCACATTTACCGTCGATGCCCCTACAGACAACTGGGGCTGCGCGGGTTCCACCCGAGCGACCCGCGCCCAAAATACGACGAACGCCCTCGCGACATTGAGGAGTAGCTCCGACGCTCGCCCTCCCCAGCGTCGTCTCTCCGCCGTGAAGCCCGCTCCCCATCGCCACGACGTTCAGCGTCCCCAGCGCAACGACCCCGCCGAGAAAGCCTATCTCCCCTGCGTCGCCGGGAAAACTAAGTGCGGCAACGCCTGGAGGTGACGTTGCCGAAAACGACGGAAGCAAACAGCCTCCAAGAACGCCGGAGCGCTCCCACTCTACCGACGCCCAGCATCGTACCGACGTCCCTGCAACGGTGTCCAACAACCTAAACGTTGTTATTGACGGCCTCGACGCATCGGCACTCGTGGACACCGGAGCGGACTACTCAGTCTTGAGTGGGAGGCTCTCTCGCCGCCTGCAAAAACTGACGACGCCGTGGGCTGGACCTCAAATACGAACCGCCGGAGGGCATCTCATCACACCAGTCGGAAGATGCACCGCTCGCGTCAAGATCCATGGGGAGACGTGCGCTGTGAAATTTGTCATTCTACAAGACTGTGCCAGGGACGTCATTCTCGGCATGGACTTTCTGTCTGAATACCAATGGCTGACGTCATCGACCTTCGGAAAACAGATTGACGCTGCGAACCCCTGTGCCACCTTCAGAGAAACCCCAAACAGCGTCAGCCGCCATCCGAGTCGCTGCCGACCACGTGAACCTGCCACCGCGATCAAGTGTTGTCGTACCCGTCGTGGCCGATACAACTACCTGCGGCGAAGTTGTCCTGGAAGGCAACCTTCAATTGCTCCTGGGAAGAGGAATAAGCGTCGCAAGAGGAGTAGCTGAACTTCAGGGTGGCCGCACTGTGGTCCTCATGACGCACTTCCGAAACGAAGAGCAATACCTCACGAAAGGGGCAGCCGTTGGCCACGTCGAGGAACTCCGAAACTCCGCGGAAATCGCCGCCATTGCTGTCGAATCCTCGCCACCTCATCAAGACAGCACGTCGCCAGCACAGCTCGACATTGACCCTGAGCTTCCGGGCCCGAAACGACGTCAGCTGATTAACCTCCTCGCCGAATACCGCGAATGCTTTGCGACGTCGTCGAAGGTGCGCCAAACCGCCGTTGCGAAACACCGCATCGTTACGGCGATCGATGCCGCGCGCGCAGCTGGCCATGTAGGCAGCGCGCGCGCGTGGCCTAACGGTTTTCGCGGTTGCTTTCCACGCTGAAAGCCAGGGTTCGATTCCTGGCCGCGGAGGCGCATTTTTGTTGACACTGTAATCTGATGTTCTCGTGAATTCGAGAACCGTCTTGCTGATTTTAGGTTAGAATGTTCCACGCCCCGAACCTTCTACGCCGAACGATCCAGAAAGCCACGAGGGTACATAAGGGATTCCGCAACGCGAGCGGAGTCAGTTTCGCCCCAGCGTTTGACTCTGCTGTAACGCCGACTTCAACGCCCGCGACGCTCTATTATTATCTTTTGTATCCCTTTTATTTTTGGCACAAGTTCGCCACATTAAACGTTTATTTCTTCCTGTTTATTTATTGTTATTCTGGTCACCACCCGTGTCAATATATAGCAAGATATATAAAAGTGGAGGCTGATAGCCAATAATCGACAGTTGAAGCCATATGCATTCACCAACGCCGATATAGATAGTTGTCAATTATGTCATCAATAGCCATTGGCAGCCATTTAAAGTCAATCTGGTCAATGAAGATGCTAATAGCCAACAAAAGCTACTTGAAACCGTTCATAAGTCCTGGGTTCAATACCCGCCCCTGCCCGTTTCGATCTGGATGGGCGTCGTACCGGCGTGTTTCGTGTATCACTACTTGGTCTTGCACGTTAAAGACCCCAGGCTAGAGGTTTTGCTGCACTGGCTAAATTGCTCATTTACAGCTGAGACACCAGACGCCCACTCAGGCAGACTAACTTCCGGCTGTACAAACATACACACAACAATTTGCTTTTGCGTTCATAAGTGTAAGCAGAAAAAATTACATAATTATCAATATTAATCTCTCCTAGTCACTTAGAGAGATTTCAAGTCGGTCTCATTAAAAAATGATGCCTATCGCCAACTATGGTCACTTGGAGCCAAGGACATCTAATAAGACATGTTTCAGTAGGAATAAAACAAATAAATCGACAAGCTCAGAAAGGGTTACTAATTATTTAGATTGTACAAAATCGCCATACGAACCCTGACTGGTCAATACAACACACTGCTTTTTGACATCTAAATACCAAGAGGTCCAATATTACCAGCTTATGCTCCCTCTGCTCCATAAAAAAAAAAAAGAATAATTCATAGACTATCAATTTCTCTAGTGAGTCACACCCACTCGATTCATTTCCGGGGAAAGTGGCGAGTTGTCCACTCTATACCGCCAGGATCGCTTTCTACTTCCGTCCTCGATTTTACACCGAAGTTTCCTGTATTAGTCTCTACTGTATTTGGCGCCACGTTCAAAGCCTCTCATACTGCCGTGGGTCCTTCACAACTCTCAATTCTTCTAGTATACTTAGCACACAATATGCATATCATAGTGTAACCTGAGTGTTCAACAATATTTACACAAAAGTGGCGTGCAAACTTCCCAAAACTTTGGGAAAATCCATCAATAAAGATCGCGAGATAATTTTCAAGGTAGTTGAACCTCGACGAATGAATTGTGGATATCATTTATGTTGGAATGAACAACGACATTTCCATACTTCTGCGTGCGTGCTAAAAATGCATGCGAGAAGACCCTCTACCTCGTTGCCGACAATGCAAGACAGTGACGAGAGTGACGTCACTGTTTTCCATAGCGCCACATTTGAAGCCTCTCATACTACCGTGGCTCCTTCACAACACTCACTTGTTCTAGCATACTTAGGAGATAATACGCGTAACATAGTGTAACCTAAGTGTTCAACAATATTCATACAAAGATCGCGTGCAAACTTCCCAAAACTTTGGATAAAAGCTATCAATAAAGATCGCGAGATAATATTTAAGGTAGTTAAACCTCGACGAAGTAACCGTGGATATCATTTCTGCTGGAATGAATAACGACAATGCCATACCTCTGCGTGCATGCTAAAAAGGTTTGGAACATTGCCAGACGCTGAAGCCTTTTTCACCTTAATTATGTATCATCGATATCTGACAACCGGCGCAGCACAGCGTCCTCCTCTGTAACCTGTCTTATCTCAAAATTTGAAAAATGGAGCAGTTAATTTTTCCTGTCAAATATCCAATTCATTAATTCTTACCGAAAAATGTCAGACGCGCACAGGTAACTCACAAAAATAACAAAGCAACTCTTTTCATCAAATGTCCGAGCGGAATGTAGTGTATGAACATATCAAAATAAATACACACATAACGATAGCGCAACTCACTGGGTCTTCCTTTTGTGATTGGTGTTGGGATGACAAAAAACTCACAAGAACATGACGACTACCATGACGTTGTACTTTTGACGCTGTTTGACTGCCCCCATCAGCTCGTAGCTTCAGCTGCGCTCTAACAAAAAGTGAAACGAAGTAACAAAGATATTTTATTTAGTAGAGCAGACAGAAACTGAAAACGTCGGTGTTTGTAAACTAATCGCCGGAAATGCCTTCTCGGATAGCCAATTTGTATGGCATCAGGCTGATACTTCAGTTCAGGCAGCTTTCGTTGAAGCTGTAGTATTTTTGGCCTGTTCCGCAGAGAAGATCGAACACAAAATTGCAGCACGTTTTGTTCCTTCCCAGGGCGCTCTCGGGAACAAGGAGGCTGCACGCCTCATCTGCGTGGTTGGAAAAAACAAAGTGTTTGTAGTACTTAGTTTTTGTAGTTTAAAATCCTGTAGGCCTGATTTTATTTTAAAAACAATAGTTTTCCTTTAAGACTAAATAGTTTAATGTTTTATTAGTATTGTTGGCATGTTAACAATACTGTATGAGAGAAAAAAGAGGCATAAAATCTGTATATTTGGAAATTGGACAGGAATGACGATAATTGCCTGGAGAAGGGGAGCAGCTATGCACACCAGTCACCTTGCTGTGTTTGGAGATCTTTGCTTGTCCTTTGTTATCCTTGTTCCCCTTCTCCGGTGATTTTATTGTTATTCTTGTCCAGCTCACTTGCACCTTTGTATTACTTGCATTATCATCATAACCTTTAAATTTAGGCCGTTCACCCTTGTTGGTGTTATACTAGTGGCTGATGAAACCCGTTCGTTTTACTGACGTCTAACTCCTGGTTAGCTCAGTTTGTAGAGCGCTCCACTGGAAATGGAGATGTCCCTGGTTCGATACGAGCACCAGACGTATTTTTTCGGTCGTGCACCAGTCACCTAGCCATGTTTGGAGATCTCTGTTTATCCTTTGTCCCCCTTGCTCCCCATCTCCAGTGCTTTTATCGTCATTCTTGTCGAACTCGCTTGCGCCTTTGCATGAATTGCATTATCGTCATAAGCTGGTCTTATTCAGCGAAGAAAAAATTATAATTTTCTCGTAGTTAAAATACAGATGCATACGAATCTCTAACGGCTGAAACATACTTACCACTAGCGTATATGTTTCTAAAGACCGTGCATTCATGAGCGTCCAGGTACGCGACGTACACTAACAATGAAACGCTTTCTGAAAAAAAAAAAAAAAAAGAAAGAAAAACGCAATCATCATAAGTTCGAGTCAGGCGTCTACGTTTCTACAGATCACTTGAAGGGCGAATCAATGCAAGTAAAATCAAGTCAAGTGAAAAATTACGTATTTTCGTTTATTTTGAAGCAAGTTCTTTTTTTTATATTGTATCAGGCAGGGGTCCTCAAGTATTGCATGGAAACTGTTGAAGTCACTCCCTAGTAATAAAGTAACGAAAAAAACTTATAATTCTTGTTTCTCACCACAACGCTCTGCTATTTAGTGCAGAAGTGTCCCAGATAGTGAATTTTGTATATCAATGTCTAAAAAAACTAGCTTCCCTACGTATAATATATGGGTATAAAACATTATGGTGTCCGCCTGCAAACATGACATGTCTATATAACGCGACAGCTGGCAGAAGGCGGCCTCTGCCCTCGACGGGTGTCTGCATAGCGAAGGTAACCCGAAAACCCGTATTTTTATGGGTTTAGTGTCTACTAGTTCTGTTTTATTCGCAGAAATGAGAAGAACATGCCTGACAGCCAGTGCTAAAAACGAGCAAGAAATTATGTGTTTGTACATATCGTCTACTTTTGACAAAGCTGCTCCCTAAGAACTAGGCTTTTTTGATATGTAAAGTAGAGAGCCTAGATCTTAGAAATCAACTTATGCGACGAAGAGCTCAAATTTGTAATTTCATGGCACTTCCTGGGGCAAAGAATATAAAACAAGAAAACAAAACAAAACATCATGTGCGCTTCGTCGAGGGACGAGGAGGGTACGCGGAAAGCGACAAGTATTTGGGCAAGGCAGAGATGGTCTCGACCTTTCTCACAAATAGTATTACAAATATAGTGACCGTCAACCCTGTGACCCTGATCAAGCATTTATACAACTGACATCTGTTGGTTTAAGCCACTCAATCAAACATGTGTCTTTTGGAAACTGAATCCGTTAGTAGGAACCCCCCCCCCCCCCCCTCCCCCTTACTGCGTGAAATATTCCGGCCGCCACATCAAAACACGTTCTTATTCGCGGGAGAGTGAGGTGCACATGCCGTCCTCCTCTATTTGTTGCACGTATCTGGTGCTCACGCGAGATGAAGAGCTCACTGAATGTGCCGTGGTGTTCACACTAGTTAGCTTTGGTAGAATGATTTTGACCCTTCGCTGGGGAGAGGAGCCGAGCGGACGGGTGCTCATGCGTGGTTCTAAGAGACGGCACGAGCTTCCGCTAGCAAAGGGAGGGTCTGAAACACGGTCTACTGAACGTCACCAAGAGGGAGATTGATACCCATGCCACACGGGCCACTGGAATGCCATTTACAACGAATGACATTCGTGTGATCGACAAATCGGCTCGCTATCTGTCGCGCAAGGAACACCCCACGGTCGAAGTTTCGCTCGCTGATTGCCGATCGTTCAAATGTCATTCGTTGTAAATGGCATTCGAGCTGCCCGTGTGGCACGGGTATAAGTAGATATTTTTCTAAGGCCCGCTACCACTGCGGGCGCGGGATTCCGAGCATGCATCGCTACAAATAGCGTGGCCTGAAAACACGATCTACCAGAACTATATATTATACTCCGTTTACCTTTAAAGGGGTACGGAAACGAAATGACGTGAACGCGAGCTCTGTTCCCCTCACTTCAAACTCGGCCAGTGAGAAGCGCAGTGGATATCGGGCTCGTGACGTCAATAGTTCTTGCTCGGTCAAGGGAACCGTAGTTGCGAGCCTTGCTACTTGGTTGTGCCAACGCGGGAAAATCTCGCGTGGTAGTAATATCCGAGGGCGAGAGCTCAAGGTCACGGCTTTGAAGTGTTCTCCGCAGATTGAGCGCTTGCACTAGAAATGCATGTTTCAAAGTCAGGAGCGCGGCCTAGCTTGCGCTTGTAGCTTTGGCTGCAGTTTCATCTTATTGGTGGAAGGCGAATAGTAGACGCGTTAGCGTTACCCGCCAAGTCACATTCAGGTCTATGTAACTTCACGAGCGAGCCATACTGGCGCTGCTTCTCAGGAAGTCATGACGTCGTGGCATTCCAACAGAGTTTCATAAACCGCCACCAGACGCAGTTTCGAAAACTATTCATTAATTTAAAATTTTTTTTAACTTCTTTGCATGCAGCCCAGAAACGCTAGTCCAGGCTAGGGTTTCTTGGCTGTCGCAACTAGATAAACCACATCTAAACAATGAAATAAATGCTCGCTGGCTTTTGAAGTGTTTTGCGCGTGCCTGGGCGTTCGCACTTTTGTTAGCAAGAGCAGAACGTTTGCGCTGAAAGCGGGGCTTCCAGTCTCAGAATATGGGTGAACTTAGAATAGAGAGCTTTAGTAGATCGTGTTGTCAAGCCAAGCTATTTGTAACGGGAGCTCGTGCTGCCAATTCGATGCATGCTCTGAAGAGGGCGCCTGCACCCGTAGCGGGCCTTCGAAAACGATCTACTAAAACTCTTTAACGCATCTCAAGAGAATAGAGCTGATTAAAGAATAGATAGCTGAGCAGAAACGGCGACGTGCTTTGAATGACCATGGTCGACGTGCCAGAAAGATGCCCCCAAAAAAGGAGAGCCTTTTGGCTAGGGATAGAATGGTGAACCTTCAGTGCCGACAAGCAATGCTGTCGTATTTCGACGAAGTCGGCAACGAAGCACCGCCGAAACACACCTCCCTTTTTTTCATGCTTTTAACTCGGATAGTTTCTTGCTAGTTGTTTTTTTATTTGAATTTTAATAAACAAATACGTAAACTGTGAACACGTGAAACACGTGATCGACTACCTTTGTATTAAACTGTAACGCTACGTTGACAAACAGATGTTTTTGTATAGTTTCAAACGGGTTAGACATATTTAGTCAGCACTCTGTAATATGCGCGCGATATATATTGTTCAGGTTTCTTCACCCTGTGTTTTTGATATTTAATAAACTTTAGTGTTTGGAATAATACGATTTTCACCTAAACAATGAGAGAAGGCCGGAGAAGAGTGGGGGTCACAAACTCGTGCTTTCTCGGTGTGAAATCGAGGCACGCTCCCTGGACAAGACACCCACGGCCTGGACAGTCAACGCCCCACTGGCCCACGCCAACACACTTCTCGTGTGTCACGTAAATAGTTTCGTTAACTTGGTTTTGTATTATTAAAAGTATGAATAAACACTGAAACAAGACTTCGGATACCAGTATTATATAGGTTACTCACGACCTATTGCTTGGAAGTGGAGAACATTTTCCGCAGTATATCCTTCAGATGACGAAGGGGTAACCGTAAGCTGCCTGCGAAGAGAGCGCAAAAAGAACCAGAAGAAACGACTCGGGTTAATTGTGTGGTATTTAGATGCAAGCAAGTTAAATCTGCGTGTCATTCGTTTAGTTTGCATGTCACAACAATAACAGGATAATTACATAGATTTGCTCTTTCGTATTTCTTATTATATACTCCTATTTGATATGTGCACCGTCCCTTTCAACTTTCGGCGCTACAACTCACAATTTTAGCAGTAGGATATATAAGGTGTTATCAACCACACAGCTCGCTCTTAAGTCGGCTGAAAAAATTGGCGCTTGCTCCTAGTAATTTTATTTTTTTTTTGTTTTCTGAAAGATATCTATTGGTGATGCAAATTACTCCGTGACATAGCAAGGCGCAGCTTTCTTCCAGTAAAAAAGAAAATAGAGTGGCATTTTTGACTTTGTCAACTGTAAATTATGACGCCGACGATCGAAATATCGGAGGGCTTTTCTTGTGGGGAAATGTTCTAATCGGAGCAGCGAGCACACGAAAGACGAATAAGAATAATGAAAGGCTATGCACTAGAATTGTGACGATACCAGAGTGAAATCGAGTGATAAGACACCGATTGGACAAGAGCGCTGCCGTCATCGTTCGCCTGGGCCTCGTGACCGATCAACGCTTCGAAAGACGCTCGGCGTCGGGTTCGCGTCCAATTACTCAGTTGGAGTCATCCGACTGTTATGACGCTGCATGCAGGAAGAGTGGGCTGTTCAGAGTCCTCCATTATTCCAGATGGCGTTGGCACACGGCGGCGTCATCTGCTTAAAGGCTGATGACAAGACTGGAGCTTCTGCAAGTCAGAAGATCCTCCTCACCATGAAGGAGGAGGAAACAGAGAACAGTAGCCACGGTAGAAGGAGGGAGAGGAGGATGCGATTGAAAAGGGGAAAGCGCGAACTGATGGTTGGTCTTTAGGACCGAGTGCGCAATCTGTTTCCCGCGTCCGCATCCGCCGTTCACTGTTTGAAGGGTGGTCACATTCTTTTTCTCACAGGAAGGAAGTTTTGCCTCGACATTCCCCGAGGGAAAAGTCGTCAGAAAAGTGTATATTTTATAAAATGTTTAAGAGTGCTACCTGCAGGCTCAATTTCCCTTTTCCCGCCAATTTTACACTGAATTAATGTGTCAATGATATATCCTATGCCGGGTGTTTTAATGAAGGCTTTCCAAGACCCCTAAAGATAAGATGTTTGAGAAGGAGCTAAACTCTTCCCGCAAAGAAACTGCCAGCCATGGCGGACGTCAAATATTTCAAAAAGTACATACTAATTAGCTAAATAATGAACTAAAATTTACTAGATAACTTTTTATTTGTGAAAGTAAAAATATGCTTTATATGAATAACTCTCTAAGCCTCTTCGAAAACCAGTAAATATACTCATACAAGACGTTCCAAAAAACAAACAAACAAAAAACAGCATATGTGGGCGTTGTTTTTTCAGGTTTCGGTTCTTTATCGGAGTGAATATTTATACAGTGGTCCTGTTCCCCGGTGACCCAGGCTCGTGAAGCTGCCGCCTTGCCTCCCTTGTGCGATGGAGGGAAGTATGGCGGACGTTTGTTGCGCGTCTCAGCCACTAGGAAGCAAAAATCGCTGGCGCTAAGACGTCCCCAACTTTCTTTGTCTCAACGCATGCATTGAAAGGAGAATTTCAACTGAACAACAACAGACATCGCTCTGTTCGCGGGGTAATATTTTAGATGACAATAATAGACTGTTAGTAAGCAGGAATTGCAATTTTGGACGAGTATAATCTTTAATTCAAGCCTCTACACTTTTTTTTTGCATTGCATTATAAAGGTCACGATCACAAAATTATCCATCTCTGTTTTTCTTGAAAAAAAATACTTCGCAAGACTTTATTTACCTGAATATCTAGTTCGCATGTTATTTTTTTTTAAATTTCTTTGAATACTTTTTATTCCACAGAATATTTCATCAAGTTGGCAGTGTGCGTTCCGATAGGAAAGCGAAACCTAAAAACGCATCCTAATCAAGCGTTTCTTATTTGAAGCGATAGCTGTTTTGTGTGCCTTTCGCACAACCAGATATCACGTCTCTTGTTGATGTTTTAGCTGCAGTTGCTGATATCGCTGGCGATGTTGGGCGTCTGCGGTCGGTATTGCACATTCTTGAAAAAGATCGGATTGCCGCCCGCGAGAATCAAACCCCGGTCCGCTGCGTGCGAAGCGGGGGCGTTACTACTGAGCCACGCCTTAGCGTGAATAACCCAATCAACACTTAGGGTTTTTGCAGTAACCACGCCCAGTGTACGCGCTCTCTAGAAAATAAAAATGTAGCCGATAACAAATTGCTGTTCGAGCACTGTCAATGTGAAAAGCCCCTGCTGGGAGACGCACTTTCACGCTGTGTGGAACCAAAAAGGAAACAAGAGTGTTAGGAACGAAATAAATGTCTATTATGTACCGAACGCTTTTGTTCACTTACCACACTGCCCCATGGTACGTGAACTCGACGCCGATGCTCAATGACTTTGCTGTGACGTGTCGCAGCTATACCAGTGACTCAATTGTGTATTAACACAGGACTGCTATATCTTTTAGAACCCCGTAAAATGCGGCTCTTCTTTTAATCCTTTGTAAAATGAGTTGGATTAATGGATCTGATGAGGCTTAGCAAGTTTATATTTGAACCTTTGTGTTTAACTTTACTACTTAAAATGTTATTTAGTAATTTCTATTTCCTTACTAAGCTAATTAGTTTGTTTCTTGAAAGTCCTAATGTCCGACGCGGCTGGCAGTTCCTTCCCGGGAAAATATGTTCTTTCGTTTCTGAGCCCGTTTATTTCAGGGATTTGTGAAATGCTTTGCTGAAACACCCCTTATTTATACGTGGAATGCCATACTTAATTTTAAGCCGAACATTAAAAGAGCGCGTATGGCTTCTATACGGGTGCGAGAAACTTAACGGTTAACGCAAAATGGAGGAATTAATTGAAATGTTTACTACACCACATAATAATATTAATGTTAATAAGAATAATCTTTAGTATCTTGTGCCCAAAAACAACCCGAAAGTGGTGCACAATGAACGAGTAAACGCCAAGTTGCCAAAAAATAAGTAAAACGCACATCACAGATAAATGTGGATCCCTTGCAATTGCTTGCGGTAAACAGGAAGCGTTTGAAGGGCCGATACCAATTTTTGCGGAAAATGCAAAGCCCCAAATTTAGTACAGTTAACGACTTAGCACTATCTATAATCTCTCAGCTCTACAGAACACGAATCACGTCATGCAACGACCAGTTACGTTATTTTATAAACAAAAAGTTTGGTTCAGTCAGTTTGGTTTATAAGTCACCTCACAACAGCTTTCAGAAAAAAAAAAAAAAAAAAACTAATCATGCCGGTTACTTATAAGCCCCGTGAATGAAGTTTCAAACAAAACTTTATTTAACTATACCAACTCGGTTCTATGCATAACATAAAACACACTAGTTCGTAGTGGTTGCGGCTTTGAAATGGAACCAATCAGAATAATTGCATTTTCTTTGAAGTTGCAGGTTCATATGTTTGTTTCGCGCTCTCATAAGCGAAGAAAGCCTGCGAAAATGTTTTGTGTAACAAAAAAAAAATACTCTAACATTTGATGGCTCTGAAATGAACCGTGCATGGGTATCTAAAAACTAAACACGTCTTCATTCTAACATTCTCTTATAGACTCACAGGTATAATTGTGCGCAGTGGGCAACTTCGTGGAAGTGGTCATTAGAAATAATTCGAAATTCCAACAGGACTTAAATCAATCTACTTGAGTAGCATCTTCAGTTTCTACGTTTTTTCGTGCACGTTATTTTTCATAGATTGATTTTAAAAAAAATCAGTAGAATATGGTTTGCAAAATTTTACGATCAATTTGTTTATTACATTTATTGTAAAAAAATGGATTGGGGGGAGAGAATACTTACACTGAGCCCTCCTCAGACTGCCATAACTGTGGGTAAGATCCATTTACTGCGGGACCCTGGCTAGAAAACCTAGGACAAAACGCATCGCCAAACGCAGGGTCGTTCTCATAGTTCCTGTACACAGCGTACCACGTCTCCTGAAGTGGCAGGACCTGCACATTTGGATCGGAAACAATTGTGGAATTGTTTTCAGTATACATATATTATATCGAGTATCATCAGCATAAAAAAACAGAGTTAAATTATATTAAATAAAAAAAAAATTTCTCCAACCACCAAAACCGCAAAAATAAGTTTCGACGGTTTGAGGCCAACGTGGCTTTTTCTTCAGTTCTGGCTGTAGGTCGTATGGGGCAGTCCCAGGTTCAACCTCTTCGTCTTTGTAAATAAGAGAACATTATTTCTTATTTGTAAGTAGGCATTGTTTTTCGGTCACTGCGAAATCACTAAATTCCTTTGCAAGAAATCACGAGATTCCTCGCAAAGAGTGCCCAGCCAGCTACATCGGCGAGACAAAGGACTTTCACGAAAGAATGCTCCAGCACAAGAACGACGTCCGTAACTTCGACCGGGAACGGGGACCAGTTGGTGCATACTGCGCAGCGCGTGACCACCCGATTGACTTCGCTCAGGCGTACGTGTTTGACACGGAGCCAAATTTCTGAAAACGGTTTCCTTAAAATCTTGGCACATCCAACAGACGCCAGGAAACATCAACAGATCCCTAGGTGCATTACCGTCTGTGTACGCTCAATGTGTACGTTGTGTTACATGACAACTGACGAAAACACCGCCTAATTAAAAGGAGGAAATCATGTTTTCTCATTTACAAGGACGAAGAGGTTGAAGCTGTGACTGCTCATACGACCTATAGCCACCCCTGAAGGAGAAGCCAATTAGGCTTGGAAACGTCAGGAATTCCTTCACGGTTTTGCCGTTGGAGAACACTCAAGCAGACACATCTCTGTCGAAGATCTTTACCTTGCAGTTACATTGATATACAAGAAATTAAAGTGATCGTAAAGATATTGTATTTCTTTATTAGGACGAAAGCCTTACTTGTCCCATTCAGTCAAAAAGCGTTAAAAAAGCCGTTAAAAACGCGATTGCGCGGCACGCGTTGCTCAATAGGCGACCTGTATTTGTCCATTGCCTTGGCGTCGTCCTTACAGTCGTGCTAAAAGTGGTCTTAGACCTCCAGGACGACCTCATTTGTCACATTACGGGAAAAACAAGTGGCGTCGGCGATGTTGGGCCCTAAAATGGCCATAAAAACATGTCATCAAGTGTCATCAGCATGTTGTCATCAAGCGTTATCATACGTCATCAGCGTTATGTCACCGCCGAAGCGCCGTGTGCCAAAGGTGCGCTTCAGACTTCATCGTTGCTCGTTATATTCTTCGTGCGATGGACTGTGAGGCGACCGCGTCTACATCTACGGCCTCGACATCGGCAGCAGCGTCTACAGTTGCTGCGGATCCCGAAGGCAAATGTGGCCATGCACGTAAATACGCCGCAGTTTCCTTTGAGGGGCGATACAACGATTTTTATACTTTGCACAAGTACTGTTTAAACGTATCCGTGAAGTTAATGGCCTGTGAAACACCAGTTGCTTTATCACCACACAAAATCGCAGTCGCAGAGAAAATTAAAGAAAAACGAGCAGAGTTCACGCTCTCAACTCGCAGCCAGAACAAGCGGCCACGTGATCTGGAGCCTATTATATGCCACCAATGTTGATCACAGCGACGGGCTGGGGTTGACAAGGCACAAGAGTCGCGCCGAGCTCCAGCCACTGTTATGGTTCGGCTATTGTCGTCATTGCAGCGATTGGACACGGGCGATTACACGAATGCTTCTCGAGCTATCGATTACTGTGAGCCCAAATCAAGTGCCCACGCAGTGCTTGGGTTCAATCTATGAACCGCGTTCAAATATCGTCACTGTACGGTACTGCGACCGCCCAGCTACGTCGTTAAGTTTTAGGAAGGAAAAACTGATTAAAAAGGCTCGCTTTTGTTCTTGATATTACACTGCAACAAAGAAATTTCTTGGCTAGTGGCGTTGCGCGCGACTTTCCTTCTGTCCCACTAGTGCCACAAGGCTCGTGTAAAGGGAAAAACATTCCAACTGAATATCGTTGCACCGCCTTGTATCGTTCGATAAAATGGGACGCCGGATACTCAAGGAGACATCGCAGACATCTTTATGTTCCAGAACGCAAGTATACATGTCGCGCGATGCGCGTGGCATAAAACTATATGCAGATCGACAGTCACACCTGGTAGTTAGCATGGGAATTACTCAAATTAATTAATACAAACCGAAACCGAAACTAGGTTAAAACAACTCCCTCCCACTTAGGATTAGAATCACTCATGTCCAAAACGATCAGGCGGACGCCTAGTTCTGGTACTACGCCTGAGTACCACACCGACATGGGTAGGTGACCCTGAGTAAGCTGGATGGGGTGATGTATTACTGTCCACATCTGAACTCTGAGTGTCCGCATGACCGGCTTGAACCATGGGGGCTCATAAGGAACAGAAACATCACATACATTATCATCATGAGGCAAAGACGCACGCACCTCAAATTGCATTTCAAAGCGGCATTCTTAAAACGACCGCCTCAGATGGTCAACATGCACAAAACGCACAGGTCCGTTCACCAACACCAGATAAGTCATTGGAGAGTTGACACTCTTGATTATTCCTTGTCACCACTTCAGTTTCTCCACGCACCGTTCTCATGAACACGCGGTCACCCACCGAGAACTTTCGGCACACACCTTCGCTTATCAGCGGCACACTTGGTTTTCTGAACCTTCTCCTGCATCGCGATTTTCATGTCTGGTTTTACAAGAGACAACGTCGTCCTTAGTTTCCTCCCCAAGAACAACTCAGCGGGAGTTTTCTCTGTGAAGGTGTGCGGAAAAGTTCTATACGCAAAGAGGAAGTTGTCCAAGCGATGTCGCATAGTCCTTTTCTGATTATGCTGCTGGTCCTCTAGAAGTTGTTTTAACAGTGATTTCTTTACTGTTTGAACAGCCCGCTTTACTGCGCCGTTTGATTGTGGATGAAAAGGTGGGGACGAGGGTGTTCTTTACACCATTGCTACGCAAAAAATCGGTGAACTCTTTTGAGCGAAATTGCGGCCCATTGTAAGTGACAATCTCAACTGGTAGTCCGTGGGCTGCAAACTATCCCCTGACTGGCTCGATGGTTTGCTGCGCGGTGGTTGATGTCATTACCTTAACTACTAATCACTTCGAGTAAGAGTCTACCGCAAGCAACCAAGTCTTGCCTTCCTTTCCTGCAAAGTCTAAATGTACCCTTTCCCACTTGTTAGTACACCATCGCCATGGCTGCAGGGAGGCAGGCTGTCCAATCGACACAACGCTCTGGCACAGACCGCACCGCTTCGCTACATCTTCGAGAGCTTTGTCCATGCCTGGCCACCAGACCATGGATCTAGCGACTGCTTTCATCTTTGTGATGCCCATGTGTTGCTCGTGCAACAAGTTAAGCATGTCATCTTGGAGGGGCTTTGGGACAATTACTCTGTTATTTCACATAAGACAACCCATGTCGACAGAGAGCTCAAACCTTCGAAACAAAAATGACTGATACTCATCAGATACTTATTGAGGCTATCCTCGACAGGTCATTTCTTGTACAGCACTCAAGACTTTGTCTTTTGCTGTTTCCCGTTCGACATATTTCGAGGTTACTGGGAGTTGATTCGCAAATGAGAAATAAAATATCTCATCTGAGTTGTCGGTCGTACTGGGCAGGGGTAACCTTGACAGGCTATCAGCGTTATTGATGATTTTCCCCGACTTGTAAACAATGCGTTAACTGTAGTCTGCTAGGAGTGTTAGTCAGCGATGAATGCGGGCCACAGCCACTGCACTAGCGGGTCGCTTAATGTTAAGAAGTACCGTCAAGGGCTGGTGGTCCGTTGCAACCTTGAGGTGCGTCCATACAAGTACTTCTGAAATTTTGTAACTCCTAACATAATTGCAAGCGCTTCTTTCTCGATATGGGCATAGTTACGCTCTGCAGGCGACATCGATCTCGATGCGAATGCAATTGGTTTTTCGACACCGTCTATATGTGGGACAATACCGCGCCAAGACTATGCGCCGATGCGTCACATGTTAGCTGAATCTCTTTGTGCACATCATACAACTCAAAGGCCTGACTCCTACAAAGAAGCTTTTTACACGCGTTAAAGCTGTTAGCACATTGGCTTGACCATTCCCACTCATTGCTTTGTCGCAGAAGGGCGTGCATAAGCTCAAGCAGAGTAGCCAAATTTGGCAAAAATCTTGCGTAATAGTTTGCAAGGCCTAAACATGCCTTAAGCTGGGTCAGGTTCGTTGGTTCAGGGGCTTTCCGAATCGCCTCCACTTTTTATTCTGTTGGATGCGATCCTCTACTATCCAGCATGTGTCGTAAGTACTGTGCTTTGCTCTGAAAGAACTTGCATTTTCCAACTTTCACTCGGATGCCGTGAGTGCTCAGATTCTGAAGCACCTGCTCCACGCGGGTGTAGCATTCTTTGTGGTCTTTGCCAGCAACGAGCGCATCACCTAAGTAACAGGCGGTATCAGGTATACCTTGTAGGATCTGATCCATGACTGCCTGCAACATGGCGGGTGCACTTGCTACCCCATACGGCAATCTCCGGAACCTGAACAGGCCCATGTGAGTGTTCACAGTTAGCAGCTCTTGTGCTTTCTTGTCGAGTTCGCGTTGCACGTATGCCTTGGAAAGGTCCAGTACTGTGAAAGCAGTGCCGCAAACTAAGGATGCAAAAATGTCCTTGAGAATATGCAAAGGGTAGTGGTCTACTTTTATGTTAGGGTTCACGGTCACCCGGGAGTCACCACAAAGCAGAACAGCAGTGCTGTGTTTCTTTGGCACTATAACCAAGGGCGTAGCCCAGACACTGTGGCTCACTCTGAAGATGACACCAGCTTTTTCTAAATCTTTGATCTATTACTCAACCACCTCCGACGGAGTGGAGGGGACTGGTCTCGCCTTACAGAACTCGGGGTTTGCATCCTCGCGCACAACCAATGGTACCTTGAAAAACCCTCTATCGCGCCATGTCCTGGTTCAAACACGTCAGGAAACTTTTCTCC